AATAATATAATAAAAGATATTAAAGATTTATTAATAAAAATACAGAATTATTAATCTAAATATATTAATTAATATTAATATTATTAAGAATTTAAAATAGAAAATCAAGTCTTATTTTCAACTTATAATATAATTAATCTTATAAATAAGTAATATTCTAGTAAAAAGCTTATAAATAAGTAATATTCTAGTAAAAAGCTTATATCTAAATATATTAGACTCTTTTTTATTCTTAAAATAATCTCATCTGTTATATATAAATTAAATTTATCAATATATATGAAACTTTATTCTATCTTTTATATCTTATTATTAAAGTTATATAATTTTAATGATAATAAAAAATTCATTTATTCAATACTATTATAATTAATCTTCATATCTGAAATTGAAAAAGAAAAATATAAAATTAAAATTATTCTAAATAAAAGAATTATCTATAATAAACTATAATATTTAGTTAAATAGCTAGATTACTTTCTTTATGATTCTATATAAGAATCTTTAAAAAATCTTTATAATATCATAAAATTCATTAAATTTTTTAAATCAAATTATTAATAAAAATATTGATTCTTAAGAAAAAAATATATAATAAAATTATACTTTGTATTATAAATTTTTACTGTATTATATACTATATTATATATAACTTATTATATCATGATCATCTTATTTTGTTAAGTTTTTTAATAGAATTTCTTTTCTTTCTTATTTTACTAATATAACTAATATATTATTTTTTATTATTATTTATAATTATTTATTTTCTATATTTATATATTAATAAGTATTTTTCAAAAATATTACTATATAAGTATTATATATTATTAATTTTTTATTTATTATTATTAATTTTACATAATTATAATTTATTATTTAAAGATGCTATATCTGTTTTGTAATTTTAATAATAATGATTATTATAATAAAAATTAAGTTTTTAATTATAATAATCATTTATCTACTTTGATTTATTTTTTAAAATCAATTATTTTATTATATTTTGAATCTTTTATATGAATTTTTTGATATTTTATATTATATAACTAGAAAATTATAATTTTACTATTAATTGTGAATAATTATTTTATATAAAAAAGCTTCTTTTTTATATATAATATATAAAATATAATTATATTTTCTAGTATTCAATTATCTTTATTTATTATAACTAGTTGAGAGCTGAATAAATTTATTAGAATGACAAATTTAATATTTCTATCATGCATTAGATTAATTATATCTGCAATTAAATTATAACTAACTTTTGTTTTTTTATAATTTATAGTTTCAAATATATTAAATGTGGATCAGCAAGTGGAATTGAAGATTTGCAAGTCAAATGCAAGTTGTTTTTGCTGATATATTATTGCTGTTTAAGTGGATAAAGAGTTTATTAATTTTGTGTTTAGCTTGCAAATCATCTATATCAATAAGATTGTAGATTTGGGAATGTCTTAAAGCTGCTGATGGGAATTTCATTGGAAGTTGTACTTTCTTTCTTACAGTGTGGAGTTCCATTTTTTGATTATCTTAATTTTTAATTTTTTATTCTTTTATTTCAAAAAATATATAGTTTATGGATAAAATTAGTAATATATAGATGCTGATATAAATATACAAATACAAGAGATAATCTATCGCTATATATGATATATATATATATATATATAAAAGATTTATTGCTGATCATTCTTTTCTTATTTCAAAATGAACGATACATTCGATCCTAATACTGCACCCACCAAAAAGCTCACAAAGCGTCAAAAGAAAACGGATGCTTTCCGTAGCAGGAAAAAACCAAAACTTGATAATACTGAACAAGATTCATTGATAATCCATAGTCAAAATAGTGACGAGGCTCAAGAATCCGATAATATTAAAGTAGAATTCGTGACAAAAGATAAAGATAAGAAACATGGAAGTCAACTCGAGGAAGAGACCAATGAAAAGAAGAAACAAAATAATAAGAAAATTAAAAAGGATATGGAAAAGAAATCTCTTTCAAAACACCGATACATTGTTTTTGTTGGTGAGTGTATAATTCCACAAACCTACACGTTTCGAAAGGAGCACATACCAACTTCAAATAAAATGGCGAAATCCTGATATATTATTATTAGCAAATTTACCGTACTCTGCAACCAAAGAAGAAATTGCCAATCACTTTGAAACTAATGGTGCAACACCAATTTCAACACGTCTTATTACCGACAAGATGACAAAAAAACCAAAGGGATTCGCCTTTGTTGAATTCAAAAATGCTGTCGTGATGAAACATGCACTTGGTTTTCATCACACCGTCTTCAAGAATAAAAAGGTTCTATTGATTAATTATTTTTTGTTGTTCTCTAATATTGTGTATTCAACGAAGGTATTTTATTAGATCCGAGTGGAATTGACATCTGGCGGTGGCGGAAATAAAAGTGAATTTCGTCGTAATAAGATTGAGGCAAAGAACAAAAAATTAGACGAGGAACGGGTATGTTTTTGGGTTTATAGAATCTCACCTGATGTCTTTTGATTTATACGTAAAAGACTAATTATTGCTCGTAATAGCATAAACTTCACGAGAAAAATAAAAAAATTTCATCCGAAATTGAAACTGGTGGCAATGGCGAGATTCAAGAGTCAAAAAATAAATTGATCAATAGTGAAGATATAAATGGGATAAGCCAAGCGAATATTGAGTATAATGATTCTGAAGATACTGAACGGAAAAAACGTCGCGAAGCAAATAATAAAAATATTGATAAACAGCGACAAAAAAAGCACAACAGAAACCTTATCAAATCATCTGAACGAAGAATTAGTAAACCGCGAAATATAGAGGGTTCTAATGCAGTAAACCCATTAGGAAAAATGAGAAAATTCGGTAGTTAGTTAATTCAGAAGAAATAAATCAATGAATAATAATTATTCGTATTATATATTCCACGCCATTAGAAATTTGCTAAAGATAAATAATTTTTTTATTTTTATTGCTAATTTCGAAAAATCAAAATTTCACTTATATAAAGTTAAAAAATTTACTGAATACTTCTCTATTAATTTATTGTACAAAAAAAGTCACACTCTCTGCTGACCCTTCCTTATCAATAATAACTTTAATTTGCAGACACAGCAATTTGTTCTGATGATCTCTTCTCCATTTCAATCTCCTTAAAATACGATTCCCAAAGTGCAATAATCTAATGATGGAAATGATGTGGGTTGTTTAATGATTCTCATAAATAGACCCTTTAAAAAAGCGATTTTTACCTGTTTCTGAGTTTGCACCATCGATTCCAAATAATTTTCAAGAGAATTTTTGAAATCTTCAACCTTTTCCTTATCAAAACGATCGATTTCCGCTTTGATAAGCTTGGTGACACGTTCAAATTCGTGTCTGCAATCCTCGCCTTTACGTTCAGTCTAGTGAAAAAAAGAACATAACGATGATATTCGTAAATTTATCACAATTCATTTGTTCTTAGAATATAATTACCTCGGCAATATCAGTTAACATCAAGGATAATCTCTCATGACGAAGTTTGCCTTGCGATTTGAATCGGTCATAAGTCACCTTCTTTTTTTGTAATTCATAGTGTACATTTTGCCACGTTTGATAGCATTTTGCACGTGAATTAAACGCGACCTTCACATAAAACAAATTAATAAATTAATTAATTAATCACCACAAAAAATCATAAATCGTAAAATTACTTTAATAGAGCCAATTAGTCGGATATACTCTTCAACAGTATTTTCAAGCGCGACGACATCTTTTTGAGCCTAATTTGTTAATAAAAAAAAGGTTTACTAATAATCTCCTTATATCCATAATAAATGTATGCATAAATTACTTATAATCACCTGAATCTCGTGAAGTTCTCTTATCTTGAGCTGAAGATTGCCAAGAGTAGTTAAATTCCTGGCAACAGTGTCATTCTTTTCGTATTCGGCACATGCAAGAGTCATCATGCTCTCACCAAATTCTTTAGTTGCACCACTAAGATCTGAGCATAATTATAAATACGCGTGTTTATAATCAAATAGGGATAATGGATCCAAAAAATAAAAAAAATAAAAAAAACTAAAAACCTTTCCGTTGTTTTACAATGGCCTCAACTGACTTCAACAAAGCTTTCAATTGTGACTCCAGTATATCTAATTGATTACGACGATTCTCAAACCACTAATTTCAAATGCAAAAAAAAGCATAATAATTTCAATAATGAAACTGATAAAAACGTTGAAAGATTCTTCAGAGTTATTCTACCTCATCCGTTTCTGTGAATTTACTAAAAGTAGCTGCATTTGACATTGCGTCGCTCAACGATCTTAAAACGCCTTTGGATTCATTTCTTTTCACCTGCAATTCAAATATATTAATAAATGATATATTTGAAGAGAGAAATTATGACTTAATATAATAAATGAACCACTAACATCTGTCGTAAAAGTATCGGATTCTAGAAATAAATGCAAGTCCGGATCATCCTGAAGTTCTGGATGCGAGGTAATTTTATTTAAACATTTTTCGAGGGCCTGACGTCGGTTTTCAACAAACTCGTGTTGAAAGCGGGCTGACGCGAGCACTATTATTTTTAATTTGATTATTTACTAAAGCATAGTGAAAGATTAAAAATAGATTTGCATCCTAACCGTAAATATGTTTTTCTGGAACAGGCGGCACAATTACTCCAGGTTTGTTCAGTGTCAATTGATTGTATAACCATAGAAAGTCACGATATCTTCTACGAACAGTGAAATCTTGACTTTTGAATTTTGTCGACGTCGTCTATTGTGTGCGTGTATAAATTAAATTTTGTGGCTTCTGTTATATGTATCATTAACCCGCTTTGAATAAACGTACCCTCGTTCGGACATTATATAGAATATACCCAGTAAACGTATCTCCAATTTGCTGAGGGTCTTCTACTGATATTTCAAATTTTGGCGCAGAAGCTTGATCACGGTATTGATTTTCCGATTGCTACACAATGAATTATCAAAAAATTTTTATTCTGAAACTGAAATGTTTCCTATTAAAATTTCAAATCTTTACATGATGCGCTGTTGTAAAATTAGGGTACTCAATCGGGGCACCTCCGTTAAAGTTTTCTTCGTCAAAACTATTGCTTTCCCCGTCGTCACTTTCAGACCTACTATCATAAGGAATAGATATAGCGGTAACTGAAGAGACATCGACGTCTTCTAGATCTCTATGTTCATACAAACTTCTCGAAGAAACCGAAGCTGGAGTAGCACTATTGCCGAAGCCATCTCGATACACAGTAATGACTGGTGACACAGTTGAGGTTGACTCCTCGTTTAAAATGTGCTCTAAAGGATTTGGTATACTAGTTTGCTTTTGGCTGTTGGAATTAGCGGTGGCATTGTTTTTGGTACTGCTTTGACTACTTTCAGAATTCTCGTGATAGTTGGAAGCGGCACTAGCGGGCCTTAAAGGAGATATAGCATCCTGGAAAGGATTTGACACGTCAACATCGGTCAAGGTTTCTGAAATAGTATTAACGGGAGGTTGGTCGAGAAGATCATCAAAATTATTTTCAAAACCCGGGCTTGTCATTATTTAATTTCAATTCTCGCGCTTATTATTTGTCTTTTATGTGCACAATTCCGATATTCAGAAATGGGCATAATAATGATAAATCGATCTTTAAACAACATGCAGTGGAAATTCTATTTTTAGAAACCGTTGTTTTGGTGCATAAATTGAAAATTAAAAACTTGAAATTCTACACTTATTATATCAAAAATATGTCCATTTATCTCAATGATTGGCAGAAGCGAAACGACAAATTGAAACACGGACATCTGATTCGTATTTATTTGAAATAGTTTTCCTATTATAAGTCCGTTTTACCTTCCTTATTTTTACTTTTCTCACATTATCCTGATTCCGTCTTTTAAATTAGCAAAGTGTGTGCTCAGTCTCTCTATTTTATTATTTCGAGACTTTCCCTCGCATCTATTGATCTTTTTTTTCGAACGAATCCCCTTTTTGAGCGCGCGCGAGCTATTTTGTGGAAAGGAAAGGTATTTTCTATTTATCTTTACTAGAGTATTATCTTTGCATGGTTTGCTCGGGTGACGTTCGCAACATACGCTTCTATGTTCTGCTCGATTTTCTACTAGGCTATAGAATAAATTCTCCTTTTCCATCTGCGGAGGTGTCTTCATATAGCGTATTTAATCATTGGTTCGTTCTTTACATTTCCATACACCAATTCACCACAGTACAAATTTCCACTTGACGATATATACACACACGCATATAAAAAAAAACCTCTACGACACAAATCTTTGTCGTACTAATAAATATCAGTTAGGGTTCTATTGAAAGTAATGATGTTATCTTCCGCGTCAGTTGTGAGTGAACACAAAACTGCGCAAAAACTTTCTAAACTTGGTCGGTGATTTTCTTTTTATTATTTGTTTCGTGAAATTCGCGTTCCCAACGCGTATGAGAAATTTTTCTTGCAGATAGATTAAAAAGAATTTCTGTGTGCATGCTGCAGGTGCTGGCACTGATAGTGCTGTTGACAAAAAAGCTGAGAAACAACAAACTATAGAAAGACGACATAGCCCGTCTAGTAACGTCGTTGAACCCCTTATTGTTAATAATAATAATAATAATAATAATAACAATAATAATAATACTTCAACTGTTGCTACTAGTACTATCAAAATGACTACGTCTTTGGCTGGAATGCAATCATCATCTTCACTCGGCAATATGATCGACAGCGATCCGAAGAATAATAATATTTCTACTTCCACCACTATAATTAATCAAAGTATTATTGGTGTCAATGGACAAACAAATCAACAACCACCACAACAAATAATAAACGCATCAACCATTATTAATACCTCTAATGAGGTTATCACAACTGAAGTATTCCAAACTGTTGATGATTTTGGGAAAACTGCTGCTTCAATCACAACAAGAACAATCACAGCAATACCAACATATAAACGTCGTTCTGACATATCGAATAACATAAATACCACATCTCAAGAAAAGCTGCCTATACAGCAGCAACCTCCTTTACCTGATAACGATAAAAAATCTGTGAGCTTTCCAGCAAATATCGTTATCAAAGATGTCGCGGTAGAGATTGATCGTCAAGTTACAGACAACAATATTATGAATGGATCACCAAATTCTCCGACAGCCAGTAATTATTCTCAAGATTCCATAAAAACTTCACCTATACGAAGTTACACGGAACCTTCGAAAAGAAGGCCAAGCAGTTTATCTGCAATACAAGAGCCTGCAACCCAAATTCCTCCTCAACGTTCTGCTACCACCGCTGGTAAAAGCAAAAAAATCTCTGATCTTGATGGCCAAACTGAAGGTGGTAAAAAACGTAGTCTTAGAATACGACGACGTAATACTTATAGCGCAGACTTGACACATTCTCGTGAATTAGACGAAGAAGCACACAAGTCCCCTGATGCTCTAAGGAAGAGACGTTTGACCAAAAAGAGAAACAGGGAAAAGGATGATGAAGAAGAACCTGTTATAGGCACTCGAATAGGGGAAGATCATGTGAATTATGTTCTCATGTATAATATGTTGACGGGAATTCGAGTTGGTGTATGTTTTATTCTAGAATTATTTGACGAATATGCATCATATATTAGTTTTTGGATTGCTATATAATTTCAAATTTAGGTGTCTCGATGTAGCGCCAAATTTCCTCGAGACCTGACCGATGCAGATTTTAAAGCGGCTCATAAGTTAGCTTTTGATATGTATGTATTGTCGATTGATCATTGATGCTATTATATGCGCTTAATCCCATGCTTATATTGTTGAATATTCATTTTTCTTACTCTGATAGTACCGGTAATGAGCTTACCCCCTCAGCCAAATATGATTTCAAATTTAAAGATTACGCACCTTGGGTCTTTCGTCATCTACGTGACCAATTTCACATTGATCCCGCTGATTACTTGGTTTCTTTAACTAGCAAATACATTTTGTCAGAGTTGAATTCGCCTGGCAAAAGTGGAAGCTTCTTTTACTTTTCCCGAGATTATCGGTTCATTATCAAGACTATACATCATACAGAACACAAATTCTTGCGTAAAATTCTGAAAGAATATTATGAGGTATGTTGGATGATGATTTTATTTCGTTAATACTATAAAGATCCCCTTCTAACTTTTTATCTAATTGTAGCATATTAAAGCGAACCCAAATACGCTCTTGTCCCGATTTTATGGTCTGCATAGAGTGAAGTTACCTCGTGGCAGCAAAATTCACTTTGTGGTTATGAATAATATCTTCCCGCCCCATAGAGATATACATGAGATTTATGATTTGAAGGTATTAATTAATTGGGTGTTTTTCGTATCCCTTTCCAAAATCAAGATCAGTTCTGATACATATAATTTTCTTGTAGGGTTCTACGGTTGGTCGTGAATACACTAAAGCAGATGAACAGTCGAAAGGTGCTGTTCTCAAGGATCTTAATTGGACTAAGAGGAATCGTCGTTTGGAATTAGGTCCTGTGAAAAGAAAATTGTTTGTTGAACAACTTGAAAAAGATGTCGAGGTATATTTGACAATCAATGTTTTACTCTTCTGAACCATCAATCAAAAAATAAATTGCATATACGATCTTTGTTTATACTTTTTAGCTGCTTAAACGGTTGAATATTATGGATTATAGTCTTCTAGTTGGTTTGCATGATATGTCGCGTGGTAATAAAGATAATATTCGAGAGGGTATCTTAACCGTCTTCGAGGTAATTTCCCATTCGACCATTATTCAAATTCACTTTCTATTCATCTTGACCCTCTTAATTCACTATATTTCTTGATGCATTTAGCCTGACACCAAAAAATTGGAGCGTGCTCCCTCCCATCATAAAAGAGAAAGCAAACTTTCTGCTTTGCGGAAAGCAGTTGTGACAACTGACCCACTTAATTTGGGACCATCTACAAAATTAACGCTTGACACTTTTACCGAGTAAGCTTCTTAAGCTTCTTTAGAGACTTTAACCTTATCAATATATTGACCCTCAATTATTTTTTTAAAATTGACGTATAAGCCGGCAGCGGCAACGTCATTGTGTATTTTATACAGATGATGGTGGATTCGCTGCAACCGACGAATCTAATCGAAGTACAAATTACATCTACTACTTGGGTGTAATTGACATTTTGACACCATATAATGCTACCAAGAAAATTGAACATGCCTGGAAATCGTTAAGCCACGATAAGGTGAGTTGTCTTTGGTTTGTTATATTTCGGCTGCAAAACCATGTTATTCAATAATTGAAAATTATTTGATTTATTTTATAGCATGAAATATCAGCTGTTAATCCCATATTTTACGGCGAACGTTTTTTGGACTTTATGGTGAAAACCATTAAACATAATGATGTTCGCCCGCAAGAAGAAACATCAGAATCTAATACAGTACCTGAACCCATTGCTTCCAATTAATCAATACCCAATGCTGAATCTTTACTCGAGATACATTACAACTCGTGAATATTTCTAAAATGAATTCACGTTTCCCACTTTTTCATTCCTTCCTTTTTAAAAAATACACGGTGTCTTAACATTTTAAAGTTTATATCGAATTCCCATTCCTTCATTTAGATTATCGTTGAAAATAACTAACAAATGCATTTTTTCACGACACTCATCCCCTCCTCTTCCCCCCTTTGGCCACATTATGGGCCTAACTCCTCGCGAAATCGAGATTCTGCTATGGAGAGAAAAAAAAAGGAGCTGATAGTGACTAAATCACATTAGTTTAACTCTGCTTCCTTATGTCGATCTAAATCGGCTCCCCTCTCTTCCTCAGTTTCATCTTTCGCGTAGTTTTTCTCCTTTGGCACTCGATCTTTCAACTTTGATGACTTTCATCTTACCAGTTTACCCTCTCACTCCTTTATTAACTCACCTTTCCCTCGAAAACGGGATTCGTTCGGATTTTGATCCACCTCTCTCACTCTTTACCTGATCACATTTTTTCATCTGCATCTACTGACATTTCTCATATATAAAGTAACTTATTGTGTTTGAAGAATTCAAGACGATTATATACTACATACGATCAAGTCAATTGATCTCACCAAATTCTTCGCGCAGATTTTCACATATCTTGAGAAATTTTGGCAAAAATACATTTATTTATGTAAATTCAAATACCAACCTATAATTCATCATGCAATGAATTTTTGAAACACTATAATCACCAGAAAAGTAAACAATATTACTGATTGATTTTAATTGTATGTAGTTTAATCTTTCTACTATCATTATTGTTATTATTATCGCATATATAAAGTCAAGCACTTTATACATATCCTACACATACTAAATAATAGAAAATAAAATCTCTAAATCTTCTTTCTGTCTTAAATAAGGAAAAAAAAATCAAACTTGTGCATCTTTGGTGATATGTTGTGTTCTCCAGGCTGGCTGGCACATGATAAAAACGTTTCGCTTTCAAGGACAAAAAACAAGCACTTCAAAATCATATTGTGATCACACGATTATTTGCTTATCGTTATTTGATGATGCTATTTAAGAGTTGTGACATCAATATTAACGAAACATGCACGATTATGTTGTTATTGTCAAATCAGGTTTAGAATTCCAGGTGAAACATGAAGAGGTGTTTTTGTCAGACACATCCCCTGCCTGGATTATCACGCAGATATTGTTTTAGGGAAAATAAATAAGATTTTATATAGAAAAAAGCCTTCAATCGAAACAATAAACCTCTTAACATAAAAAATAGTAATAATGCCAAAAGAGCAAAAATGCAGCAAAAGATGCAAGCGGCGCATAAACGGCGAAGAGATCAAAATATACTCAGAGTCACCCACCCACACATAAACACCCTGACAAAGAGAGAAAGGGAATCTCGGCTCAGATCCCAAAAGAGATGCTGATAAAGATGATGATGATGATGTTGTTGTTGCTGTTGTTGTAGTTTTTACACAAATTCTCACATATATTAAAAAAAATACTGAAGCACTCTTTATATAGAATAAGAAATAATGATGATGATAATGAAAAGCTAATCCCATTTATGACTTCTGTGCCGTTTTTTATTAGTATTTCTATTTTCCACCACACCTTTGTTCTTCTGACATATTCATTCCGTTACACTGTTAAATAGTGATGATGATACGAGGATAGTAGTAGTAAAAAAGTCAGAATTACTGCGCAAACAATTATGAATACTGTAAAGAAAAATAACCTCGCACCCAGGTTCACTATATAATAAATATTTGAATAGGGGATTAATTATTCGTCTACTTACTGGCATATTTGCGTGTCCATTCACGAGCAGTCGCTTCGTAACGAGCACGATCAGTTTTATAAACATGGGCAATTTCAGGTACAAGTGGATCATCTGTACATGTTATTTAACAAAATATGAGTAGACGATTATTAAAAAATGGGTCACACAAACCGAACACATACCTGGATTAGGGTCAGTCAACATAGAGCAGATAGACAAAAGAACTATTATTGAAGAAAAAATTTTTAGGTTAAGATTATCGTTTCCAAAATCGATCTTATTAATTAATTAATGAGAGAGTACCTTTCGAAATGGTAAGAGCCGGAGACCACTGGTCCCTTAGAATGTCTAAGCATATACTACCATTACTGTTGATATTCGGGTGGTAAATTCTTGTTGTAAAATTTACCTTGATTATTAATAATAAAAAATGATGAACAGAATGATCCACATATAATTTTTGTAGAATAAATCACGACAATACTACTACTACTACTACTACTAATAAAATATCCAAACATTGAATCAAAAGAAATAATTAATAATACCTTTGGTGGTTTAAATGGATAATCTGTAGGGAAGTGAATTGCAAGGAAGAATACACCACCAGAATATGGAGAGTCAGACTATCAATCAATTATTATTAGGGGAAAAAATCAGGAAGGAAAAAAAAATTCCAATATCATTTATTGTTAAGAACGGGAAAATTAAAACTTGATGCCATTGATTATGCTTATAAGGCAATAATGAAGCATACCGGTCCCATGATAGTAGCCTGCCAGTGAAAAAGATCATCACCGATAGGTCCAGCACTGCAAGAAGATGGTGGGTCGTGTCCTAGGTCACGCAGTTCCTATCAATGATAAAGAGATCAAGGGGAGATGGAATTAAAAAAAAAGGCTCACAACAAAAAACTAAAAAGATCCATCATCGAGACTTGTATAACTATGAGAAGATTGCATGATGCTTCTACATGTACAATAAATATGATACAGTGACGATAGAACTCAACATTGGAATTGGGTCTCTGAAATATACAAATAGAAGCAAAAAGCGATCGGATGATTTTCTTGAAAAGTAAAGTTTAACGCTCTTGCAAATTTCGTGCGGCTATATTAGATTGCTCAACCAACGAGCACAGAAATAAAAAAAAGCATATAAAAAAGTATATGCTCGAAAAAAAATTAACAAAAAAAATCTTTGCAACCATCTCTTTATTGACTCATCAAGAAATGACCTTTCACCACATCACAATAGTGTCTCGAGAGTAAAACAAGATTACACGACTATACTCTAATAGGTATACCTTGTTGATCCTTTTAAGTGCCATTTTATTAAAAGTAGAGTAACGTGAAGGTTATGTCTGAATGTAGGTGTATGTTTTTAAAAAAGATGAGCCGACGAAGGCGAGACTTGTAATCTTATTTTTGGTTGGTTGATAGCTAAGAGAAAACAAATATTATCTAGTAAAAGGCAAGCAACAGAAACAAACGGGAAATGAGCTTGTGGAAGGTTTCAAGGGGATCGAGTAAGATTCGCTAAATAGGTGGGTCAATTTAGGGGGTCTGATTTTAAAGGGTACGATTTTTGATGTTGATTAATTGATGGAGAAGATTGATGATGAAAATGAAAATGTACATGCACTTTATACATATTATCAATTTCCTTTTTATATATCCTTTCTATTCCATGAAACATTCAACCTTTCTATTGTATTTCCATGAAAACATTTAACTTGGCATAATAATCGTCAACTCTGAACTCAGTTCTGCGGGATTGTTTATTGTGATAATGTCCGAGATCAACATGCCCAAAACCGAAACATCTCGGTGGATTTCGAATCTTTTTGTTTTCATATTTGTTATTGTTACTATAAACAGAGAGCGGTTGAACCGCAGTCCATCATGGAATTTTCGAGAATCTACGGACACATACCAAACATGTGACATTGCGTGTGCGGATGGGTCGGACGTGCGCACATGACCGGTTCCGATTTTTAATGAAAAAGACAAAAAAAGAAAACAGATGTCAGTTCTAAATTTAACTCGTTGGCTTACATATTAGTTGCAGATTTTTATTGGTTTATTATTATGTAGGAACCGAGTACAGATTATTTTGTCGAGTAAAAAATCTACGGAAATTATGAACGCAGACGCGAAGCAAGAAAGAGAAGTTGTTGTCAAAGCTGTGTTCAGAAGCGAATGTGACAATTATCTTTATGAGTACCTTATACAGAGAAGGGAACAAGCTTCTTTCGTAAAAAATTTCGAAAATAGTTGCTATTATTACGCTACTTAACCTTAAGACGATCAAAGAATTCGGGATCAACGCAAAGAGTGCTTTGGACGTGTTTGAGGTTAAGTATTTGTTTTTCTTGGTGCTGTGGCATTCTTATATTACTCGAGCAAGAATATTTTTGGTTTGTTTTTGTGACAATCTTCGGTTTCGAGTAATGATAAGTTATAGCTTTACCAAGTAGAGCATCTTCGGTTTGCACTTATGATAAACTGAGATTTTGGGCTTTATCTAGCAAAAGCATCTTCGGTTTGTTCTTGTGTTCAGATAAAGTTTAGCAAGTTACAGCATATTGCACAATGATGTACTACTGCATTTTTTATTTTTTTAAGATGGAAAAAAAATCTTTCAAAAATAACCAGCTTTTGGAAGGAAGTTCAAACTTAGAGGAAGAAAAGCCGTTCGTTAGGGCATCTCAAACATATTTGGGAAAACGGTAAGGAGGAATAGAGCATTTATAAGAGGATCCGGACTGTATATACTTATTCTTCTGTGAGCAGCTTCTTCAATATGCAAGTGCACAGGAAGCAACAAATTTATCAACTAATGTTAAGAACGCAATGAGAATTACAGGAATCTTATACAGAGTTTGATACAATACGAATTGATATGTTCGTCTTAAGTCATTTATTTGCTAACATTCCAGAATTGTTATTACTAAGCATTTTCATATCAATAACAGAAATAATAACAACATTCAGATCACTTTATTATGGACACTGGAAAATGAGAAATCCAAAATAATTATAATTTTTACAAGAAATAATTTTTATTAAAATACAGAAAGTAATTTTATAAATAAAATTTTGAAATATAAGTTATTAATCATATTTTCTAAAAATAAATTATTCTGATAGAAGTTATTCTCTTATTTTTCAATTAAAATTGAAGAATATAAATAGATAAAAATTATTTCTTAATAAAATTAAAAAATAATTTAAAATTTAATTTATAAATTAAAGTATTTGATAACTTTATTATTTATATAGTTATTTTATTATATTATTTAAATAATAAAAAGATTAAAGATTTATATAATCTTTATATTTATATTTAATGCAGGATAGTCACATGATCATGTTTTATATTATATGTATAGAATTTTTAAATATAAATATAAATAAAAATAATTTTTAAAAATGTAATTCGTACAAGCATCTGTGGTGTAGTGGTTATCACGTGTGCTTCACACGCACAAGGTCCTCGGTTCGATCCCGAGCAGATGCACTTTTTCTCGTTTAAAATAATTGTTTTTTACACTTAGTTTAAAATATCGATATTATTAGAGAATGCGATTATATCAAGTGATATTTCAATTGGCATTTATTTTTTATTAACATTTATTAACATCAAATTATAAAATATTTATTAGAAATTAACATTATAGCTCATCTCTATGTATGTCTTCATCTTGTTCTTCAAATAGATCTTTATCTTCTTTGTTGGCCAATTTTTCAGCTGCTTCTTTCTTTTCTTCGTCATCAAGTTCGGGGGCTGGAGATTCGTTAACTTCTATTTTTGCGTCGAGGTCGACACCTAAATTGGACCGAAGAATTTTCTCGACACGTGTTGCGAAACTAAACAGTGAAGCAGACAATATAGATAAAAATAAATATGATATATAGTAAAAATAAACATGTAAATAGATTATTACCCAAGGTTATCTTTCAATGAGTATCCAGATCTAATTAATGCCGTTTCGTATAATATAAAGGTCGTTTCTCTAGCTGTGTCGTCGAAATTTTCATCATTTGCTTTCTTCAAAAGTGCAAGAATCAACGGATGCTTCGGATTGATTTCCAAAATTTTCTTTTGTTTGGCGAAGAAATTTTGCATAATGTCATCCTCTTGTTTAAACGTTTGCGCTACAAATTGCGAAAATTGAGTAAAAAATGCATCGAATGTTGAAATAATGAGTGGAACGAATCAAAAACTAGAAATCTTACCAGCCATAATTTTTTCCATATTTCCTGTCCATCCCCAGTCTTGTGCGATAATGGCACAGGGGGAAGTTGTAAGACGATTGGAAATCTCAACTAGAAATATAAATATCAAAAGTAGGAACGAAATTAATAAATGTGAACTACAAATTTTCATGAGAAAGAAGGACCTTTTTACCTTTTTCTACATATTCGATGAGAGTTGCTTGCATCCAATCTTGTAATCTAATGAATTCCGATTTTATTTTTTCGAATTCCTCTTTGGATTCATCTGTTTCATCCCCAAATTTTAAGTTTCCTTTGGCAGCATTTTGGAATACCTTGCCATCGTAACCGGGCATATGCTGAATAAGCATCTCATCGATTGGCTCGGTTAGATACAATACTTCGTATCCACGAGCTTGAAGACGCTCCAAAAATGGTGATTGTTTAATTTCTTCGACAGAGCTACCAGTCATAACGTATATTTTATCTTGACCTTTTTTCATTCGACTTATGTATTCATCAAGTGAAGTAAGATTTCCTGGTTTATGGGAACTCGGGAAACGTAATAATTTTGCCACCTTTTTACGGTTTCGGTCATCTTCGATTGCACCCAATTTCAAAATTGATCCGTATTCCTTTATGAAAGTTGTGTATTTCTCTTGGTCATGTGACAATGCTGAAATCATCTCAAGAATTTTTTTGACGATTCGTTTTTTGATTAATACAAGGGTTTTGTGTTGTTGAAGAGTTTCTCGGGACACGTTAAGGGGTAAATCATCAGCATCAACAATAGCTCGAATAAATTGAAGATATTTCGGTATGAAATCGATGAATTCGTCGGTGATGAATACACGCTTGACAAACAATTTAATGCTTCTAATAAAATCCTCGGCCTTTTTGAATAAATCTTGAGGCGCTTTACGTGGTATATAAATGATAGATCTGAAGTCTACTTCACCCTCAGCCTAAGAATCGTGTATACGTAATCAAATTAGTTAACGTGTTTAATACAATATTTTTCAGAAGTGTTAAGTAATTTTTACCTTGAAATGAATCCAGGTCAATGGCTTACCGTCGACATCCTTTGTGAATGACGCGTAAAATTCTTCGTATTCTTTATCGGTAACATTTTTTGGGTCTCGAACCCAAATTGGTTTCTGATCATTCATTAACGACCATTGTTGTTTTGTTATGGTTTTGGTTTTTTTCTTTTCATCTTTCTCATCTGGTTCATCTTCGATCTGTAATTCGTCTGAATCATCATCGGGAGAATCTTTACCCTTCGAAATATCTTCAGAATCTACTTCAATCTCCTCTTCTTTAGTTGACCAAAGATAAATCGGAAAATTTATAAATTCTGAATATTTTTTAATAAGTTCGTTTAAAGTCTTTTCTTCCAAAAATTCACTTGCGTCTTCTTTGATATGCAAGACAATTTGGGTACCACGTCCAAGCGTGTTACCACGAGGATCTTCATAAATACTGAAATCATTAACCGCTTGAGATTCCCAAATGTATTGTTTGTCTTCGTCATTATGTTTTGTAGTAACAGTTACTTTATCGGCTACTAGGAACACGGAATAAAACCCGACACCAAATTGTCCGATAAGGTTAATATCAGCTTTTTTTTTGTCGATAGCGTCCAAGAATTCAGAGGTGCCTGATTTCGCAATTGTACCAAGGTTTTCCTTAAGTTGCTTTTTAGTCATACCAACACCACTATCAGTTATAACCAATCGACGATTTTCTTTATCGGCCAAAATAGTAATATTGAGATTTGGGGCGGCCTTGAGCGCATGTGGATTGGTAAGTGCCAAAAATCTGATTTTATCAATAGCATCAGATGCTAAAATAATAAAGGAGTCAATTCATTGAAGTTTAAATTTAAAATTGTGTTTTTTAAGCTCATTAATTACCATTAGAAATGAGTTCTCTGAGAAATATTTCACGCGTTTTATAGAGAGAGTTGATGATAAGTTTCATTAAACGACTAACTTCGGTCTATATAATTAATTCATGATTATCAATTAGAATTAGATAAACCAATAATAGAATACGACTAGATCGAGATTTACTTGAAATTCAAATTTTTCTTCGGTTGCTTTAAGTTTTTCGGTCTCTTCGTCTGTCAGAGGTTGATAATTAACGGAGCCTTCCTTAATTTCTTCCTTCACTTTTTCATTTACAACTTCTTCGGTAACCTTTACTTGTTCCTTTCCATTGGTCTCCTCCTCTTCCGTGATTTTTATTTTTTTTTGTGTAATTTCTTCTTCCACCTCTTTTACGGTTACTTTTTCTTTGGATGGTGAAGAATTAACCTGTTCCCCTTTAGCAGAAACACTTTCTTCAGCCGTCGCTGTTACTAAAAATGATGACGAAAAAGTAAACACAAAGGACAAGGATAGAACTGTGAAAAAGAAAATAATCCAGTATTTGCTTTTCATGTTTTTTATTATCATTGATAATATGGTGGGGGGGGCGACGTATGCGCAAATAAAGAAAAAAACGGGTTGTAACAATTCGCTTTGTATCTATTACGCAAAGGAAATTTTGGAATTTATAACAAAAGGAGTTTATATTTTTTCTGACACCATCTTTTTATCTATCTGTCTATATATATTTCTTTTCCGTTACATATTTCTGTTTTTTTCTTTGAAATATTTTTTTTTGAATACGTGTCGAAATGAAAATGGATGTCGATTCAATGATTATTTGGTGTCACACAAAATACCACGCGGCATGCCCAAAGCTTTGGAAATAAAAAATTTTTTCTGACTTGTGTAAACCAAAAAGAAAGAGGCAACACGTGATTTTAAATACTATCCAAAGTTTTATTAATATTTGCAAACATAATCAATCAAATTTGAGAACTTTATCTTTACAATAGTGACACATGATCCTAATAAATTTATTTGACTCGAAAATAATTTCATGCCCCTAATACCTGTTTAATATATTTCGGCCAAAGATCTAGTTCATTATCTACCCCTTCGTACTACTGCATCCTTGCACACGATAACCAAAAAAAGGCAAAAGAGAGGAACACAAGGTTGGATGAGAATCTACGTCGACATATACACATACACTAAAAAAAAACTTGACTGAAAAATAACAAAAACAATGATAAAAGATCTGAACGCACGAAGATATAGTAGTATCATGGACTTTCAGCATCAGTTAATCTATAACGGTTCGCCAAACCCAGTATCCTCCCCCATTCAATCACCTACTCATACACCGTCTCCAAATACCTCTCCAGGTCAAACTTCTCCACCACTTGGATATTCAAGTTCACACATAGGAGGCGGACCACCGTCGCTATATGGCGTAAATACATTATTTTCTTTACCACAGAAACCTCCCTCAAAACAAATTCAACAACAGCAACAACAGCAACAACAACAACAGCAGCAGCAGCAGCAGCAACTAAATCATACTTACTCGCTTCTTAACCAAACTGCAGGGCCTCCACCTCAAGGTATGAACTCGCCAGCAAGCCATGGGCTGACGCAGTCACACTTGAACTTTTCACATGGTATCTCAAACCAAATGAATAATAATATAGGCTCTCCGCATTGGCAGCAACAGTTAAATTATGCGCAACTTTCTCGACAGTCGGCTACTCCTCACCACCACGCACGACAAGCTGCTGCCGCTGCTCGTAGTACTAATTTAGGAAGTTCAGCAATTGCAATTACAGATCCAAATAATCCAAATAAGCCTCCCGTCAATGGAGTTTCCCATAGAAAAACGAATAATGGTGATAAGAAAGAACATCAATTTCAACAATGGATGACGATCGATTTGGGTGGGATGGGATTGAAGAACATTAGCAAAGAACTATACCGTTACCACTTTCTCAATACCCTTTATATAAACCACAATAATTTAACGTGTTTGTCTCCCGAGATTTCAAGACTGCGAAATTTGACTATACTGGACATATCTGGAAATAAATTATCCTCAGTGCCCCCAGAAATTGGAATGTTAACCAACCTTAAAGAACTATTGCTTTTTGATAATGCATTATCGACACTCCCGCTTGAATTGGGGACGCTTTTTCAACTGGATACGCTCGGCTTAGAAGGGAACCCATTAAACGATCCTATTAAATCAATGATACAAAATGAAGGGACATCTGCGGTGATAACTTATCTGAGGGAGAATTGTCCAGGTATATAATGGAATCATTTACCCGCTGTCAAGAAAATAATTAACTATTCGTCATATAGATCCTCCACCACCAGCAGACCGAGAATGGATTTTATTGGAGAATGAGCAAACGAGTTCAGGGCCTGGTATGTCCGGGTACTAGGAATTCAATTTTAATTGAATAAAGATTTCAGACTGTTTTCTTTTTTTCACTATAATTTTTGTTGGTGCTATTTTTTTCCCCTGCTAAATCACATACATATACAGACACCTTCACCCTTCTTTGCTACAATGTTCTGTGTGACAAATATGCCACGACACAGTTATATGGTTATACTCCCTCTTGGGCACTTGCATGGGATCATCGCAAAGAAGTCATATTGAGTGAAGTTAAGTTATACAATGCAGATATTGTCTGTCTCCAGGTAAAAAAAAAAAAATACGAGTTATCAGTTTTTCAAATACGATGGTTTTGTTTTTTTCTAGTGAGATTAATTGATTAATTTGCAGGAAGTTGATAGTGCACAATATGAAGATTACTTTAAAAAAGAACTTCACAAAGCGGACTACGACAGTGTTTACTGGCAAAAATCCCGTGCGAAAACAATGAACGATTCGGAAAGAAAATTGGTTGATGGTTGCGCTACTTTCTTCAGAGCGTCTAGGTATTAAACAATAAGCAATTAGATATTCGCCTTATTTCATAATAATTGATTAATTTGCTATTATTTTAAAATCAGATTCAAACTGATAGACAAACAGTTGATTGAATTCAATCAAGTCGCATTACAAAGATCTGATTTCAAAAAGACAGATGATATGTTCAACCGAGTAATAACTAAAGATAATATTGCAATTGTAACATTGCTCGAGAATTTAGAAAATAAATCGCGTATTATTGTCGTTAATTGTCATATTCACTGGGATCCAACTTATGCAGACGTTAAGCTTGTGCAAGTGGCTATGTTAATGGATGAGTTAGACAAATTCGCACAAAAATGGTGCACAACTTCCAATCAAAATCAATCCGTTTATAATTACACTTCACCGCAAAAGATTTCAACGATTATATGTGGGGATTTTAATTCAACACCTGACTCCGGTGTTTATGAATTTCTTTCGCGTGGCACTATACGACAGGACCATAATGATTTTGGTGACCACATTTATGGAAGCTATACATCCGATGGATTGACGCACAAACTTTCATTGAAATCTGCATACTCGAATATAGAAGAGTTGCCATTCACAAATTTTACTCCTTCTTTCACTGGCGTGATTGATTATATTTGGTATAGCACAAATACGTTAACAGTTACTGGATTGCTGGGAGGCATAGAAAAAGAATATTTAACGAAAATTGTGGGATTTCCTAATCAACATTTTCCGTCAGAGTATGTCCCAATTCTTGATTATTTATCACCATTACTTATTTAATGATCTAATCTAACAAAAATTTCTATTCTTAGTCATTTGGTAATACTTGCTGAATTTCGAATAAAACCACCTGTACCAATACAACCAGCACCTCAATTTGGACTTTCAACCAATAATAATAATAATAATAACAACAACAACAATAATAATAATAACAACAATAATAACAATAACAATAATAATAACAATAACAATAATAACAACAACAGCAACAACAGCAACAACAATAATAATCATTCGCATCATCGTCGAATTACTTCAAAAAAATAGATGACTGACTGATTGACTGATCGACCATAATATGGATTCTATTTATTAATTCCGTCTAATGCTATTAACTATTTTTATTTGACCATTATCATCGCTTTCACCATCGGTTTTGGACAATTGTCTCTCTCGAAATATTAACATCAAAATTTGTGTAATCTCAGGAAATTGGGTTGGGAATTTATGGGAGAGTTTTGCTATTATTGGCACGAGAATAAGTATTTTTATTACTGTTTGGACTTAATTTTTGTTCTAATAGATCATTATCATTCTCATTATTATCTTTATCATCGATAATTTCTTTCGCATGCCCTTTTAATTATTTTATTAGCGTAGAATAAAGTCATTCATTCCTTCATTTATCGCACATCCCCATTTTCAAAATTTATTAATAATAGCATATTTCACGCCAATCAAGAATTAGATCTCATTACCCTCTCCTTTTTACCCAAATCCTTTTTCCTCCACTTTTTGTAATGTATATAAGAACATGCTCGTAACCCAGTTTTTTTGATTATAACCCATTGGCAGGAAAACAATGGGCGTTTGGATAATATATATTTATATGCTCTTGCATACACTCATACATCACAAACGAAAATGTCCATAATAAAAATACAAAAAAATTTAGATTTTTTCTTTAAATATCCGTTAACGTCAGCGTTAAGTCTTAAAAACCAAAATTAAATGATGAGATCAACAACGTGACAAAATAAAATTTTTTCGTCACGAAAAAAGATAAAAGCGCGACAAATCGATTTATAAAATGTTTCATAAAAACGCTTCCGCCGTCACGGTTACTCTTTTTACTTTTTTCACCAACTATAGAATATCTTTTTTACCGTTCCGCATAGCATCTAATAAAGTAAAGATAAATCATCATAATAATAAACTAATATCATTATTACCACCATTACGGTTTGGTAAGTAGTATCCAACATTATATTAATGAAATGTATATATATATATATATATATATATATATATATATATATATTAAGTAAGGCCCTATCGAAGCTCTGATGAAAAATTCACATATTTTCTGATGAGTCAACATGTGGCCAATATCAATATGAAAAATCTTTCATTAAAGGTCGCTATAGAGTAGTATATAAAAGCGTGACTCTTTTAGCATTACCCACGGAAGATACACATTTAAAAACGCGCAACTCATTAATTAATTGATTAGCTGATTGATGAATTAATTAATTAATCAAACCATATTTAATGTTTAAAGTTTCTAGTCAGCAAACATATAATAATGATATACTACCGGAGTTTGCAAGAAGCAATAGATATCAGGAAAAACCGACAAAAGAGTACCTCACCGAAGATTATGAAAGATTTGCGAAAAATATTGGTTTGGATTTTTCGAATCCCGCTATCTTGACTCAGGCGGTCACACATAGATCTTTTGAGCATGGCAACGTACGACATATGGAACGATTGGAATACCTCGGTAATAATAATAATAATAATAATCTGAATAACCATCTTCTTTTTTTGCTTTGCTAAAACAATAATCAATAAATAAATTTAGGGCGATGCGTAATTCAAACATTCGCGGCCGAGTTTCTAATCGACAAAGTGAGTACTGAACAATTGCAAAAACGAATCGAGTCATATAAAGATACATCGATAGTTGGGACAATTGGGAAACAAATAGGTTTGAATAAACTGCTGCGTTGGGTCCCTGTAAGTTTGTTCAATAAATTAATAAATTAGTATATACATAGTCAGCCCTGTTAAACCGAAGATTTTTTGAAACACGCCCTTAATAGATAATTTAACAAATGACACCTGTTAATCCGGAAACCCCGTTAAGACAAAGGAAAATAGCAGCACGGGCGTCTTAACAGGGTTGACTATGTACAAGCTAGTTAATTGAAATCTACAATCTAACATTTTAAAAATGAAATTCAGGTTAATCTTGAAGAAATAAAGAAAGCTGAATTAAGTGGATCTTATGTCAAACCCATTGGCCAAAAGCATGTAACTGGACGGGCAATGTTAGCACTTGTTGGTGCTATTTACCATGACCAGGTAAAAAAAAATTCTTAGCTTGTTTCTATATATATATATATATATATTTATTCCTTTTTTTTATTATTAAACAAAGGGCGCATTTGCTGCAAAAAAGTTTTTCCATCGACATATTATTCCAAGACACCCGACTGATCACATATTTGCTGATAAGCCTATATTGCAATTTGATAATTCAATATTATTAAAAACCGACTTATGAATGGTTAATCCAATTCTGTAGATTCTGAATGAAGTCTAAAAATGGGGAAATTAAATGATCGACATGTTGATCAAAATTAAGTTTTAATAGCCATTTGTAGTAGGGCTGCTAATGGTTCGACTCATCTGAACTCAACTCGACATCAAAGTCGAGCACATGAATTTCTCAATAAATCAAAGTGATTTCTTACTCGCTAAATAAAGGATAGAACAATGGATTAGTTAAATAAATTAAGAATAAATTTAATTGTAACATGTATTTTATGTAACAACCTCGGAAATTAGGGTTGGATATTAAATTGATTAAATTGATAATTTTTTATAGGTTAATGGCCAGCGATTTAAGAAAACAGAAAAATCTACACTTGTAAGAGAAATAACTACAATGTAAGAAAAACTGGACCTATAGCCCGAAGCTATGCAAATAGAATTATTATGACCTGGAGTATCAAGCGAAATGAATTAGAAAAGAAATACTATGGATGGATAAATAAATGAAATTAATATTACTGATTCTGACATCTTGCACTATTATGTCCCATTTGACCACATGTACCGCAAGTATATTTGCGTAAGGCTTTTTTTCAGTTGATAACTCATATCTTTTGGTTTCTGGATGCTCTTTGCATCATGATACTAACGGGTTTTCTATTTGTTCAAGTTCATTTTCTTTGTTATCTTGGTTTCATATTGATTTAGTATGTGTAATCATTTCTATATGGTGATTAATGAATTGTTTTAGCCATCTAATTATCTTATCATGATTGTCATGTTCAACAGTGAGTTAAGCTGCTTGTCATGTAATTTACATCTCTTCATACTTGATCTTTTTTTTGCTGCACAATATAAAATAGTTATAATAATTATGAAAATAGTTGAAGAACTTGAAACAAGTATTACATCTAAAAAATTTTGCTCAGTTTTTGATTTATAAAGTAAGTTATTGATATAATATTCTTATTTTTTTGATCATTAAGATATTATTATCTCAAAGATATTATTTAAATTTAAAATTCTGTAACTATTAAAATCATCATTATCTGAAAATAATAATAACAAATAATATTATAATATTATATTAAATATGCATAAATAAAGATATAAAATAAGATTAATGATTATAATAAAATATATATATTTTTTATTTCAAAATATATATCTGTACTTTTTGAATTTTTCTTCATCAACTTTGGTTATAATTAATTTTAATAGAATTTACTTGACATTATATTAATCTTTAATAAATTTATTTATTATATTTATATCTGAATTTTATGAAAAAGAATTAGATTTTGTTATTAATTTCATATATAAAAATAAATCTTAATTATTTTAATAATATTTAATTCTAACTTACTTATAATAAAATAAAAATATTATATTATTTTTAAATATTTAACTAAAATATAAAATATTAGATAATTAGATATTAATTTATTTATTTTAAAAAAATCATGATAACTAATTTGATTTTTATATAATTTAAAAAAATATAATATTTAAAAAATTAATTTTATTAAATTTTACTTTCAAGTTAAGTATTAAAAATATTTGTAAACTTATATAAAATATTACTTAATATTAATTTATATTTAATAATATTATTATAATCTTTAATATAAGAAATAATTTAAATTTTTATAATAAATATTTTAAATATAAATATATGAATTTATATTTATCTACAAAATAAAAAATTTTTATTAAGTAATCTTTTATATTAAATATATTTTAATAAGCTTAAACTATCTTTTATAAAAATTCTTTATAAAAATTATAATATAGATAAAAATTATAAATAAAATTTTTATATTAATTAGAAAGTTTAAATTTGATATTTTTTAATAAGTTTTTATTAATATAAAAAATATAATAAATTAGATAAATTATTTTATATATTTATTTGATAATTGTATTTATAGTCAAATTTATATTAAAAATAAATATTAATAATTTTATTATTATTAATCTTTTTATATATTTTAGAATTTATTTATAAGACTTTATTATTTTATTAAATATAAAAATTTATATAATAAAAAATATTTTAATATTATTATTAATAATAAAAAAAAGTAAAGTAATATATTATAATAATTAATTTTTATAATATTATCATTTAAAATAATATTATAATATATTAATTAAAGAATATTATTAAGAATGAATAAAATTAAAAATTTTATCTTTAATAATTTTTATTAGATAATTATTAATAAATTTTTATATTTAATAAAAAATTAAACTTCTTTAAGATTAATTTTTTTAATAAATATTTTTTAATATCAGCAGAAAATAACTTATAATTATATAATTATTAAAAATAATAAGAATTATAATTTGAAATTTTATAAGATAATTAATATTTATATTTTATAAATATTATTAAATATTTTAATTTATAATCTTGATATAATAGAATTTAAATAAAAATACTAGAATAAAATTTTTAATAATATTTAAAAGTTTTTAGATATATTTTTAAAACTTTTTTAGTTATATAAATTAAAATATAAATTTTAAATTTTAAATTAAGTTTAACTTAAATTTTATTAATTTATACTTTTTAATATAAAATTTTAACTTTAAAAATCAAGAATTATATTATTTAATTTAATCTTTCTAGTTTATTTTTAATTTTATTCAAGATATTAAAAAAATTATATTATTTACAATCAGATCTCTTTATAATTATTATAAAAAGATTTTTTAATTATAATTAATTAATAATTAAAAAATAATTATAAAAAGATAACTATAAAGAGATATAATTATAAAAAGATCTAATTATATTTATTATTAAAATTAAGTAAAAGTTTAAAAAATATAAAATATTTAAAGAGTTTTTTAAGATTATATACAAATTTAAAATATATAATAATTTATTATATTATATTATTTATCTTAGAAATAAGTAAAAAATATTAAGAATTAAAATATTTAAGTATGTTTTTTACAAGTTTTTTCAAATCTAAAATATATATTAATTTTAAAATTAATTTTTAATTATAAATAAAAAATAAAAAATCTTATTATTAAATATTAAATATTAAATCTTATTTTATAAAAATAAAATTTAATTATTAAATTTTTAATTTAAAAATTATTAAATTAATTCTAATATATTAAAAATTATTATATATAGAAAATTATTTTAAAATTATTTTTTTTATTTAAACTTAAGATAAAAAATTATATTTTTACTTATATATATATTAAGTCTTATTTTTGAAGTATATATATTAAGTTTTATCTTTAAAATATATATATTAAGTCTTATTTCTAAAATATATACTAAGTTTTATTATTAAGTCTTATTTTTAAAATATATATACTAAGTCTTATTATTAAAATATTATTATTAAGTTAGAATTATTTATATATAATAATATTTCAAATTAGTATAATATTTATATTTTTAAAAAATTAACTTATAATAAATTTTACAAATTTAAAACTAAAAATAATATATATAATATTATTAAATAATAAAAAATTATTAAATAAAATAAAATAATAAAGATATAAAATATATAATTATCTATACTAATAAAAAATAAATAATATAAAAAAGAATTATGTTATTAAATTACAATATTTTATAGTAGTTTGAGTAATATAATTATTTAAATCTTACTTATATTTAAATATTTCTTTTATATTAATAAATAATTATAATATTTTAAAGAGTTTATTTAATAATTTAAGATTTTTAATAAATTAATATGCTAAATTATAACTTTAAAAAATTATAAATTCAAAGTTAAATATCATAAAGACTAAATTTATTTTAATATAAACTTATTATCTAGATATTTTCTATTAAAATTAACTTAAAAAATAAGAAAAAAATATAAAAATAATATTATTAAAATAACTATCTAATTACTCTTATCTAATTACTTAACTTAAATAAAATAAATTACTTAAATATTAATTTATTAATTATTTAAATATTTAATTATATTAAAAAAATATTAGAAAAAAATATAAAAAATATAAAAATAAAGTAAAGTTATACTTAATAAAAAAAAGAATCTTAACAAAAAAATTAGATTAATTTTTAAAAATAATTAAGATAAATAAAATAAAAAAAATATTATTTAATAATCATTTAATTATATATACTAGATATTTTAATATTAAAATAACTTATTATATAATTATTATTAATCTAAAATATATAATAATATTAAGAATTAAATAAAGATATATAATACAATAACTATTAAAAGTAATATAATACTTAAATTTTTTATTAATTATAATTAGTAAAATATATATTTTTTCTTATATATAAAAATGTTTTAATTTTACTAACAAATAATTTTTATTTTTAGCTTAAAAAATAGCTAAAGTTCTCTAGTTTAACATATATTTTTTTTAGATTTTTCAAATTTTTTACTGATAACTTGTTCTAATTATATATGAAATTAATTAATTTTTACTAATTATTAATTAATAAAAATTAATTAACTTTATATGCAATTAAAACAAGTTATCAGTAAAAAATCTGAAAAATCTGAAAAAAATATATATTAAACTAAAGAACTTTAGCTATTTTTTGAGCTAAAAATAAAATTAAAAATTTTTATATATTATAACCAATCACTTATTCATATAATACAGTAGACATAATACAGTATATGATGCAGTTATAACATATGGCACAGTAATCACTAATCATTACTAAATCAGAGGGAGCATTAAAGCAAGGCAAGCTATTTAGCTGGTTTAGCCACAATATATCACGTTTGATTGGCAGCACATGATTTGAAAAAAAAATGCCACTATTCACATAATGATAATAAAAAAAAAACTTATAAGTAAAAAAAATTCTTGCTAAATAAAATTTGCCTTTCTCCATAATGTCATTTCTTTTTGTTCTTCCCTCTAACATTATTTTTGTTTTTTTATACTCCTTGAAATAATATAATTTATGAGTTTCTTGAATATTCTCAAAAATGTTAATTATATCTAATATGTTACAACTAAGTATGG